CTATCTATCTATCTATCTATCTATCTATCTATCTATCTATCTATCTACAAATCTACACATATTTATATCATATATATTTATATCATCTGTACCTATGGAAGGGAGGACAGCAAGTCCTATGAGCAAGGAACCACCTTCCAGTGGGAGCCTAGGCTCCTCTGGTGGCACCAGAGCCTCCAGGAGGGCAAGCTGGATACCTGAGGAGTCACTGGCAGTTTGCAGAGTGGCCCCTAATTGCTATCAGTCAAAATAGAAGGTGGATTTGACCATGCAACTCTGTGTTAACATTTTTCATTTTATCTACTTAAATATGATAAATGAGAAAGCTATAATTTATTGCATCAGCAAGGCGATTCTTTTACTATTAATTTTGGTGTTGCTGGAGACCTAAAATGCAGGCCTCTCAAATGTAGATGAGCATCCTGCCACTGAGCTAAAGCCTGACCCAATGGTATGATTCTCAGCTAGTCACATGAATTGGAGTGTCTGCCTCTCCTATCTCCCCTGAAACAAGGTTTCCCTCCTCCAGAGTATGACAGACCTAAGTTCTAGATCCCAGTATCCTGGAAGGTCTGTGATAAGTTGGTTTATGGTGGGAGGTTGTGTTGGTTTGAAAGAAAATGGCCCCCAAAGGGAGTGGCACTATTAGGAAGTGTGGTCTTATTAGAGGAAGTATATCACTGTGGAGGCGGGCTTTGAGGTCTTATGTATGCCCAAGATACTACCCAATATCTTAGACCACTTCCTGTTGCCTGTAGAACTCTCAACTATCTGTCCAGCACTATGTCTGCCTTTACACCACCATGTCCCACCATGATGATAATGGATTGAACCTCTGAAACCACTGTAAGCCACCCAATTAAATGTTTTCTTTTATAAGAGGTGCTGTTGTCATGGTGTCTCTTTCTGGAAATAGAAACCCTAACTAAGACAGAGGCAGAACTGGGATCTTGGGGATGGGGAACGTAGGTTCCTATGCCCTCCCTCATCTCCTTCCAGAAGCAGGGTCAGGCCTGAACACTGTCCCTCTCTTCTCTGTACCGCTGCAGATGGAGTATGGAGCTCTGGATACAGAGTGGTACCCAAAAGGTGGTGGGCAGTAAGAAGGGACTGAACTCTCCCTTCACTGTGCCTCTCAAATGGGCCTGCAGCACCCACATGGGAGCCTCACAGCTGCCTTCCACAAGCCCCTAAGTGAACCTCCACAACATCAGGCAAGATGGCTAAACAGAAAACAAAGCCTTTTTTAGAGAGATTAAATGAGACCTCAATCAGGGGAGACCCAGGCCTGGCCAGCTGCGTGCGTTTGGATTTTAGTGTCCTTGTGTTTCTCGTGACACAGATTTTGAGGTGTGGCTCTGGAGACCACTGTGTGCACCTTTAACACATCATGATTTGTGCATATGCTGCATTCATAAAACAAGAACCTCATCGTCGCAATTTTACTTCCCATCCTCTCTCCTTGGTGCTCCTGTGTTCTGGCATTTTTGCGTCTGTCGTCCTATAACCACAACGGAATGATGATGCTTTTTCAGTCAACAGTTTAGAGAAAGGAGCTTTTCCCAAATAGACGATGGTACATAGACCCTCTTCATTTGCCTCTTCTCTTCCCAACATATATGTGCATCGTAAGTATGTAAGGTGTTGCACGTTCACTTATATATTTGATCTTTGCTTCTCTCTTCATGCAAATTTAGCTTCCAATGACTCCATTCCTTCATCCTTCGGAGTTCTGCTTGTACTTACTGTGCAGGTCTCCTGGAAATGGGCCTTCTTAGCTTTGTCCACCTTTAGTCTTACTCTGTGAAGATTAGGTCACACCTTGCCCAAAGACACTCCACATTGTTTGGAACAGTGGCTTTCAGGCTGTGCCGTACCCAAGGAAACTCAGTTTTAGCTGTAGCACACGAGCCTGATTTGAGAAGCAAATGCAAAGACAGGATAATTTTGTACCTTGTTCTTGGATGTAGAAGATATAACATGCCCTGTACTACCCAGGAGGTATAGACTGATTAACAACTAACAACTGAAAAACTACCACCTGCAAACTTATCAAAGTAGATCAGAAAAAATAAGAGCACATGGAGATATTAAAACCTTATCGGAGTGTCTGGAGAGATGGCCCAGCAGTAAAGAGTGCTTGATGCTCTTGCAGAGGACCCGAGTTCAGTTCCCAACATTAGGTAGCTCACAATGAGCTGTAACTCCTGCTCCAGGGGCTCTGACACTTCTGGGTTCTGCAGGTACCTGCATACACATGTACCTATTTATGCAGAGACACACTCACATATAGACAAATAAGTAAAGTAAATCTTAAAATAACACATTAGATGAACCAGGCCCACGAGCTTATGGAGCATACTATAACAAGAAAAGGTGCAATGCTGTCACCTGGAACCCGCAAAGAGGAGAGCATGTGACAGTAGTGGCTGTGACAGCACCACTGACCTGATATCTAGACACCTTGTGTGTGGGTAAAGGGACCGACAGGCAGAGAATCCCTGACTTTCCCAGGACTTTCCGTGGTCCAGTTGAATTTCAAACTGTCCGTCCATCATCCACCCTACCCACCCACCTGTCTTTTCAGAGAGGTCCTACACCTTACCTTGATGGTCCTGTGCTTCTGTGACGCCACTGGACTTTGCAGTATGGTTTTGCCTCCAGCAGCTAACGTCAATCTTGATTTCTCTTCTTGTCTACCTACCTGCAGTGATGTTTCTGCATCTGTATCAGCTCTCTGCCTTCAGTATTGTCTTTGGGAATCTTGTGGTTTCTTTAATTTAACCCTTTTGTAGCTATTCTGTACTGTGAGTGTGTGTGTGTGTGTGTATGTGTGTGTGTGTGTGTGTGTGTGTGTGAGAGAGAGAGAGAGAGAGAGAGAGAGAGAGAGAGAGAGAGAGAAAGAGAGACAGACCTGGGATTTAATATAAGTAATAAAGATTGTAATAAAAAAATTTGTTTGCCAACATCCTGCTGTCAAGGGCAACCAGGAATACTTGGTAAATTGCAGCCACCAAAACAAGGTAGCTTATGAATTGATTACTATTCAATGCACTCTGGCATCATGCAAGGATGTGAACTTGTGTGTTTGTGTTTCTGGCAGTGTGCTCACAACACCTTCATTTGTGCTAGACGTGAGGTTATCTAACATTCACTGTTCTCTGGTATCTGATAAGATGATGATGGGTGGGCATGATTGCTGTGCCACAGGGAAAATATAAAGGTCAGAGGACAGTTTCATGGAGTTGGCTCTCTCCTTCCATCTTTCTTGGGTCCCAGGGACTGAATTCCAGTTGCCTAGCTTGTACAGTAAACATCTTTACCCACCTAGCCGTTCTTATGTCCCAACGTCTCCATTTTTCACAGTGAGATTTTCTTTATGTCTCATTTTTCCATAGCTGCTTTTATGATTATTTTTTTTTTGCCTTTCAGCAACATGGTTGATCTCCCCAGGAAGTAGTTTTTTGGGAAGCTTATCCCTGTTGGGGTTTGGTGACATTCTTTGGTGCATGGATTGAACTTTTCTATAGCTTTGGTAAAGTCTTTGACCATTCCTCTCTCCATGGGTTATTCTATTCTCTATCCCTCCATGTTTCTGGGTGTCATATTATATCATATACCCATTAAACCTCGTGAGCTTGCCCCTGATATCTCAGATGTCTGTTTAATTTTTTATGCTTTCTCTCCTTTCTTCCTTTCTTTCTTTCTTTCTTTTTTCTTTCTTTCTTTCTTCTTCTTCTTCTTCTTCTTCTTCTTCTTCTTCTTCTTCTTCTTCTTCTTCTTCTT